ATCGCCTTACAGCTCCCTCTTGTTAACGCTAGCTGCACTTTATGAAGGTAATGTTTGACGGAGTGAACAACACAACGCTTTAATCTATGGCCAATTAAGTTATAAAATATCTGTTGTCCAAGATAAAAATGTATTTAATGTTCATTTGAATCAACATCATGTATTCTGTCCGTGTAGCTGTTTTGAAATGTGTTTCTTGTTCTACATTGGCGTATTCAGTATCGTGCGCCATCTAGTGGCCTCAATGAAGAACTACACCCGCAGAGTCAAGTTAGATACACGTAGCGAAGAGATACTTCCGTTAAACCCTTTCAAAATAAACCTTGTATTAAAACGGAGGGATATTCCATCCTGTTCATACTGTGACTGTAATCTATGGTCAGTTTGATGAATAAAATGACAAAGCATTGTAATAGATGATTCCCTCCTCGCCTCCTTAGCTTTTAGTTAAACTCTGCTGGGCTCGTCATCAACCGGAACCGGAACACGTAACATTTTTCATCACTGGGCGCCATCTAGTGGACAACCCGAAAGCTACAACAACATAAGGGGGGGAAACATGATGGGAGTATGACGGCTGCCACACGGCTGATATCAAGGTTGACGCTGGTCACTGGTAAATATATGTTGTAAGATACATGGTGTTGTGTGAAGTGAGACGTTTAAGGACATGCCCTTTTCCCTTTTCAAGATGTTGCGTTCAAAGCCGTGTGTTTTTCTGCAATCTTCTTCAATTCACCAAATCAAAGCAGCTACCTACTGCAAGTAGCTTCTGATATCAAAAAGTTTGATCTCCAAAGTAAGCTGACAATGAATTCATTATTTTAGTGTAACCGTGATTCTATCAGTGATTTCTAAATCAGTACCTCGAGCAGATCGGACTGAATTAAGTTTGATGACTTGAAATGAGAGTGAAGGTGAAAGTGTAGCTGTCATTCTGGCTGTGTGTATGCTATCAATAAGACCTGCAACCATTTCAGAATGAAATGATCTGCCGTTGAATTGTGAAAATACTGAAAAAGGAAACATGTTTAAATGCCTCAGAGTTTAAATCTTTAAATGTCTGGTTTTGTCCGACTTAAGGTTCAAAACTGTAAAAAATGCAATACAGTGTGGATACAGTGAGTGACTGAAAGGATACATGTATTATGAGAATTGTGGCTTATTAATTGTCTTCTTTGACTGATGGAATAAACATTAAAGCTGTATTATGAATGATGAAGCATCACTTGTCCTCTTACATTTTCACATAGAAAAGTGGACTCAAGGTTTTTGAAGACAGAAGAAAGAAAGAAATGTGATTGGGCGCAGATGATTTGTGAATAACAATTGGTCATGTAGCCCTGAACTGTTGGGCTAATCAAACTGAAAATCAATCACATCAAGTCAGCTTCCTGTCCTGTGTGTTTTCTTGTCGTCCTTGATTGATATTTGTTTTTTCAGATACTTCCAGAGTGGATCTTCTGTCACACTCAGTCTTTCCTCTGCAGCGTTGTGTTTAAAACATTCTGTCACTCTGGTAACTTCATGCTACTCTTTTCCCTCCCAGGAGGAGGCAGTGGGATCGGACGGGCGGTATGTCAGCGTTTGGCCTCTGAGGGCGCCTCCGTGGTGGTGGCAGACATCAGCGAGGAGTCTGCCAACGAGACCATGGTGGGTCTGCAGAATGACCTCAGAGGACAGGGTCACATGGCGGCTGTGGTGGATGTGTCATCAAAAGAGAGCGTGAAGAAGCTGGTCACCAGAATACAGGTGTGATACAGACAGGAAGACAAGCCAACACAACATGTGTTTACATTTCCATCATAATCAGCAACCTTTCTGTAGAAAAAGGTACTTTTCTCTCTGTGTGTTTTCATGCTGGAGGGCTATTCCACGTGTTGTTTTTCTCTCCTTGTAAGTTATTGTTCTGTTCCTCTACACACTCATTACTTCCAGCCTCCCTCAGTGTGTGTGAACGCAGCAGGCATCACGCAGGACCACTTCCTGCTCAACATGGAGGAGGATCACTTTGACAGAGTCATCCAGGTCAACCTGAAGGTATGAAGCAAGTTCAGCGTGTAATCGAGTCTATCAGGTTAACGTCAGAGGATGACATCACAATCTAATAACTAGGGATGTGCCCGTTAGTCCACTTAAAGGTTGGAAGTCATCACCCTCACTAGTCGGCACCAGAATTACAAGTTACAAATGATTCATATTTTTAGATGTTGGCCCTCGATGCCGGTTCATTTGTGCTCAAATTGCAGCACTTCTTAAAGCACTCTTCTTCCATCACTGCTGTTGAGACATAACGTGGGTCGACTTTGTGAGAAGAATCAGAAAGAAAGAAATCAGTCTCTGTTGTCTTCAACAGGAAACAACCGAAGATTCAAGTTTCTCGTTGTTGCACTTGAAGAAAAGAATTCATAAAATGATTCTCTCACAAAACTTCTAAAAAACTGCACGAGTGAACGCAAACAGACACATTTCTACTCCGACTTTATCTGGAATTCTTTAGCCGGCAGCCCCCTGATCATTTTTCTGCATGAAGTCGGGTTAGCTGATGTGAGAACGCAGCAGGAAGTATTCAGGTAAATTCACTGTGAGGGAGCAAGAGGGGGTGGTAACGTTTCTACCTCAGGACCCGTGCACAACCAGAGACTGTATGACCGCGATATGTGTGATCTCTGTGCACGTTATTAAACCGCTGCCTTAAGTTTTCTGTCCTCCAGTATGTACAAAAAAACTGTCATCATAGAGTTGGACTCTGTTGCTCTGTCCACCACCTCTGACTGCCTGAAAATAATGAAGACTTTCAGTAGTGCATGAGTGAAAATGTCTTTATTGAGGCTGAAGAACGTTTAGGATTGTTGTGTTTTGTCCACAGAGCTGAATGATTTTTGTTATTATTTCAAACACTCTTTTCTCTGGTGCTGATTTACTGTGAAGAGATGAACTCACTCCTGCTCCTGCGTCTCTTCCAGGGCTCCTTCTTGATCACTCAGGCTGTGGCTCAGGCTCTGGTGGCCTGTGGAGCACCCAAAGGATCCATCATCACCGTGGGCAGCATCGTAGGAAAGGTGAGAGAGCTGCAGAGAGACGCTTTCTAGACGACAGTTTCACTTCTCTGTTGAATCTTTTAAGGTTTCTTTTCAAATGTATGAACATAAGTGTGTAAGGACCTGGTGTGTGAATGTGATCACTTACTTGTGATGGACTCTTTACTCAGCAGCCTCTACCATCAGTGTGTGAATGTGTAGGTGTGACACGTGTTGTAAAAGCCCTTTGAGTCGTCAGAAGACTAGAAAAGAAATATACAAGCTCAAGTCCATTTACCATTTATCCTGAAGTTCATGTGGCAGCGTAATGATTTCTCTTTATTTATTGAACAGTGATCATCCGTCCATCCATCCACCTTGTGCTCGTAGCCAATAAAGGGTTAAATGGTTCTTGGATCCATGTGTTTGAATGTTCACACCAGCTGGAGGTTCACTGGTTCAGCATTTTAAAGACATTCACTCACACTCATTACTTTTAGTGATCCTTTTTTACGACTTCTTTGATCGAATGTCGCCTCCACAAACTCTGAATTATTAATCAGTCGTCTTTAAATCGTCTACAAAAGGTCGGAGAAATGCACGGATTGAAAACAAGCTGGTGAGGATGGAAACAATCAAAACACCAAACATGACAGGAACCTCAAACATGTTCACACAACCACACAGGGTTAGAAACAAACACACACCTGAATCCTGATTCTCTGCACCTGTTCACCTGTCACTCCCCTTTCTAGCTGCGTGTGGCTGATTACCCATGATGCCCAGGTGCAAAGGTGACGTAGCAGCAGCAGCAATAATAACCAAACTCAGCACACACACTATAGCACACATCAAACTGGCTCCAACAAATGTTTTTATATCATCACAATGTAGATGTTACTGAACTGAGCGGCTAATTTAAATATCTTTGTTCAGACGTTTCAGAACATGTGAATAATCCGTCTATAAGATCAACAAAGTAAAGATCATAAAGTTTATTGGAATCAAACTAAATGTTCCCACAATGGTAGCTACAGCTGTGTAAGTGTTTCCATGAATGTTGAAGTGAAGAAACACACAGACATTTGGAGTGTGAGGGACTTTATTGAACAGATCATTTACAGTACAAAGGTATGAAACAGCAGCTCAACACCACTAGTTAACTTAACCCAACACAGGAAGTGATTCTGAGAATTCATCTTCCACTTCCATTCACAAAACTCAGAGAGAAAACATCCCTCGTTCCTGAACACGAGCAGGAATTATATACAAGATTTCAACTGGATAGCTGAGACGCCTCCCACAAACAGTTTAGGATCTCTGATCAAAATAAAACAATAATTAGAGCTGTCAGCATTAACGAGTTCATCACGATTAATCTCATCTTATTTTGTCCCTTCAGGCTCTCCGTAGATAGTGGTCCTCAGTGTCTCCCTGTAGTCTCACTGATGTAAAAGAAGAACACTGCTGCATCTTTGAATGTCTCATTTCACTTTAACAAACTCTCAGACAGTAATATCCACCTGATGACATCACACATTGACCTGATGACATCACACATTGACCTGATGACATCACACATTGACCTGATGACATCACACATTGACCTTTGTCACCGTTCCTTTGAGCTGTTTGACCTCACTTTAGGATCCATAACCACTTCCTGTTTCTGTGTTTTAGTTCATGTCCTAACCTTCCATCTACAGGAAGCTCCTTACTCTATTTCAAAATAAAAGCAGGGCTAAATTCAAACAGCAGGTAAAGTACTCTCAGCTTAAGACAGTACAAATGTTTCAAAATAAAAGCCCAACAATTTATTTCAAACATGCAAATTTTTAAATTTAGAAATTAATCGTGATTAAAAATTGTCATCGTTTGACATCTCTAATAAAAATGTTTCAAAATAAATCAAGAGGAATATTATGAAAAAAAAAAAAAACATTCTCCTTATCTGTTAAAAAAACTCAGAGACAAGAATTATTATTTGCTTTGGTTTGTTAGTAATAAAAACAAAATGTATACAAAATGTACAAGCAGACTATTTACACAACTGGAAGATGAATCTTGAACTGATGATTTTATTTCACGTGTGTGATCATAGGGAGGCCTTTTAAAGACGTGGAAGGAACCAGATTGAATTATTATCTGTGTTTGGTACAAATTTAAGACAGTTCACCACTGAGATGAAACTCCACTCGTCTGTTTTTATTCTGGCTCATCTTGCAGAGAGTTACGGTGACTGCAGTGTGAGAGAGGTGGACTCCAGTAACACACACAGACGACCTTCACTCTGATTGTTCCTGAGCAAAATGTTTCAAGAAACCTGCAGAGATGAAGACGGTCAAACCGAACAATCATTTAACACATCAGTGTTTGGAGAGATCAGCTCTACAAAGCTACATATTTACACTGATTTCAACCTCACACAAGTTTAACAAAGAAGCTTCTTTAACAAGGCGTTTAAAACGGCGTTTTTAACAGTGAGAATGGTCCACGTCCCGTAGAGAGAAACTCACAGGGTGCAGGGTGGTGTGTTCATCATGTAGGCTCTGGATTCAGTTTCTCAGCGAGCTCAGAGCTGTTTTCAGGAGACGTTTCACATGAGGCTGAAATACAAAAACAAAGACGGGTCGTTTTAGTTCTCACGTAGGTCAGAAAGCCAGAAAATCATTTCTTCCCCTTTTCTAGTAACTTAACTCCAGGATTTAAACCTTCAACTGACACATGTATCTCGACTTAAGCACACAGCTCACTTTGTCTCGTGTACTAAAATTAAATAAATAATAAAAACATCAAACAAACAATATTAAATTCATCTCTCTTTCTTAGGGGGGTTTTACATCAGGGTCCCAGGCCCGGATCTAAGTCCAGATCCGAGTACACTGGACCCTAAAGTCCGGTTCATTTGATCAGTGTGAACACAAACATACCGTACTCGTACTGTACTCAGCTACCGTGCCCGAGTCCGCTTGGTCCGTGTGAGATGTGAACACAACCGTGCTCAAGGAAGTGGACCGCGATACACAGAACAATGTTACTAATGTGGGGACCATCGGGGGAGAGGGGGGGAGGATAATCCTGCTCGGGTACTGTACAAAACAATCATGCCTGATGTGAAAACGCCCTTAAAAGTCATAAAATACGACACAGCTGGAAAACTTCCTTACTGTTTGAAACAGATTTTGATACAACAGGTATTAAAGTCTTAAAGGTGCAATATGTAGATTTGGTACTGAAAGTTGAAAGTTGGAGAAGTGAAACAATTCTCTGTTATATTTCCTGAACTGAATACACAAACTTTACTCAAAAGAAAAATGGGTCCCTGGAACTCTGTTTGGAGCTAAAAAGCTACCAGGAGAGTTACAGTGTCACTGTTGAAGCCCCCCACCATAACTTCTCTCAGAGCATTTTATCTTCAAACATTGTTCCTCTGAGGACAGTTTGTGTATAGAGTTATGAACATATACCACAGAATCTGTACATTTCTTCAACTTCCACATTTCTCTACCAAATCTACAAAGTGCACCTTTAATAAACTCAAAGAATAACATTTAAAAACTTAAAACACCAAAAAGAACAAAGTTTGTGTCTCTTACATTTTCTGCCTCTGTATTTCTTGTATCCAATGACAGCGAGGCCGAGAAGAACGAGTGCAGCGATGATGGCGATGATGGGGATGACGGTGTTCATGGGATTCACTGTTGAGCACAAATCAACAAACCACAGTTACAACCTGTGCAGATGAAGCAGGTTAGAGGAGGAGAACATGTGCCAAGCAGACAATCATCATCCTGTAAATAAACACTGTTTGTCCTGCTGCTCTTCATTTGAATCTCCACTTGTCTGTAAATAAATCCTGTATCTATGTTTGATTCATCTTCCAGTCGTGTTGTCGTCCTTTATCTGAATGCTGATTTCTTTATATGTTGATGTTTCGCTCTGAGAGATTTTGACAAACGGATTCAAACTCATTTTGACTGAACGAGGAAAAGAAAACTCACCGTGAATGATTTACTGACAGATATATTTATACATCCAGTAATTCATCAACTTGATCTTCTCTTCAACTAAAGGAAGAATGAGTGACTTTTTGATCCAGTAGATGTCGCCCTTGAGCAAACCAAAACAAACTGCTGTTTGGCCACGCCTCCTCCACACTCAGAGACATTCACACAGGATAGACTGGATTTCTGATATATTTATGTGTAACATGTCACACATTCATCCTTTAAAACTTTAACTTTGAGAAGTCAACACAGTGCCTTTAATCTCTCAAAATAAACATGTTTGACTTTTCTTCAACAACAGCACTCTAACTGTGTTTGATTCAATCGTTTTCTTGATGGATTTAAAAACTGAAAACACTAAAAAATAAAATCTAAAGAGAAACTGAAATGAAATGATGTGGCTGTAAATGAAAAAGAGATGCTAACATGTGAATCATGATTTTTCTCCCTGAGATCTGAGATCACGATTCTCTCACATGATTCTTTTTTTTTTTTTTTCAACTTTTAATTGAAAACTGCATCTTGGGGTCTCCCCTCAGAAAAATGTTAGCATCAGACATTTCTTTTCCTGCATTCTGATCATTATTTATGCTCCACTTTGGACCTTTTCTGCACAGCTTTATGATTATGTTTTAATCTTTTGGTCCTTTTTTGTGTCTTTTTCAAATCTCTTTCAGTGTTCATCAGACACATGTTGACACAATGATGAGTGCTTTCATTTGAATACTTTAATAAACGTGGACTGGAGAGTTGAAGTAAATCTGCACTATTCCAGCCCTGCAGCTTTATTCATCTCTCTCTCTCTCTCTCTCTCTCTCTCTCTCTCTCTCTCTCACTTTGCGTTATTAATCCATTTAAAACTCTGGAATAGTATCTTTCTTGTAAGACGTCCAGAGGTCTACATTATCATCGCTTTAATGCTGAACCTTTAAACTCTTTTTCTGAATACTTTTACAATTTGAAGAGTTTGAAAGAAAGAAAAAGTCACAACTAAACTTTCCCTCCATCACACGACTGTTACAGTCAAATCCTCTCTTTCATCACTTCTCATCGAGGTCTTACCGTAGTTGGTCTTGATCTCTCGTTTGTCCAGTTTGGTGACGATGTCCTCCTTCACACCAGAGAGATGAAACACACAGTCGTACTTCCCCCAGTCATCAGAGGGCAGTTGAAGGTCAGCGCTGATCTGGAAGGAGCCGTCGTGGTTGGGGAGGATCTCTCCCTTGTCCACGTCCTCGTGAAGCTCCTCTCCATCTTTCCTCCAGAACATCATGGCTCTGTTGGGGTAGAAACCTGTAGCGTGGCAGGTGACCCGAGAGGAGGGAGTCTTCTGGAGGAGAGACACTGTGGGGAGGTCTGGAGGACAAACAGGAAGACAGATTAGAGTTTCTTTATCAGGATTTACTCTTAAATACTGTTACAACTCATGTTTGATGACACTTTTTAAATGTACTGGGAAAAAAAGGGACTTTAAAATCCAGTGAGTCAACAATGAAAATCAACCTTATTAAAGTATAATTCAAAGAAGAGAGGGTCAGAGGGGAAGAAACAGAAGAAGAGAGGTGAGGGGGGTTCAGATGGATTGATGAAGAAGAAGATGAGGAGAGAGAGAAAGTACAATAAAAACACAGAGAAACTTTGAGAGAGAGCGATGAGCAGCAGAGAGAAAGAGATCTAACATGAAGGGAAAGGTAAGGGGAAGCTTAAAGATGAAGACAGAGCATGTGTGATAGAAACGTGATTGTTCAATTACAAGATAAACAAGAAAAGAAGAAGATGAACATTGTCAGAATTCAACTCCATCAGGTCATTTGATCCTACCTGTTCTCATCAGAGAGCTCCTCCCATAGTTCACATACTTCTTCAGCCAGTCAGGACACTCCTTGTTGAAGTAGTTCTTAAGATACTCTAACTGAGCTTTGTCTTTATCCAAACTTCTGTTTGGTGACGACAGCCTGTTGTTGTGGAGCGACCCACGTCCATGTCTTCGTGTCCAGAACTATGAAGTCTTCTCCATCATAACCATCTTGATAATAACCTTTAACATCTCCAGTCTCATCATCCCACTCACAGCCGTACATCCTCTGGGTAATGTGAACACCTGAGAGAGAGAGAGAGAGAGAGACAGAGAGTGAGAGAGAGAGAGAGAGAGAAAGAGAGAGAGAGAGGGAGAGGGAAGGAGAGAGAGAGAGAGAGAGAGGGAGGAATAGAGAGACACAGAGAGAGAGAGAGGTATAGTTTAAATCCTTTATTATTACATCAGAGACACACTGAGTCTCTCTCTCTCTCTGAGTTGTAGTCCTGACTAGCAGACTCAGATTAAACTGGTCCTGGACTGAACGTGGACTCTCTGTGGATCAGTCCAACATTTCGCTCGTCCTGTGAGAAACCACACACTCGACTGTCCCGAGCTGTTCTCCAAGTTTCCTCTGAAGGAGAGTCTCAGTCCAGGATCAGTCTGTAGACTCCTCCTGCTCGGCCCTCACAGAGTTCAGCAGTGTGTTACTACAGCTGCTCACAATAAGGCAGAGACCACCAGGACCAGTATGGAGACTGGGAGACAGTCTGTGCGTCCTGATTGCTTCATCCATCTGTCAATCATTCAACACTAACAACAGCTGTTTCCAGCTGCAGATGTTTGTTTGATGCTGCCTGAGAGGACGAGCCAACACTGAGGTCAGAACAGTGGAGATCATCTCATCTAATGTGTACTTGGACTTTTTATGAAGAGCTCAGAATAAAGATTCATGATCACATTATTTGGATTGATTCATGAACCAACCACTTCTTTTGAAACGTCAACAAAGAATAAGGTGAACTTTTCAAACAGCTCCAGAATAACACTGAACGCTGTTTCATTTACAATCATATCAAACTGATCAAAGCAGCTAATTGTCATATTTGACAAACTGGAAAAAACATTTTGGACCTTTTGGATTCAAGAGACTGAAATAATGAGTCCATGATCAAAATGATTGTCCCTTCATTTTCTGTGGATCATCTCATCAATGAATGGACTGAACTGTTCAGCCTGATGAGTGAATCATGGCGTACAAACACTGTTCAAGTTTCATTCATCTCATTTAATCTAGATTTATAATTCACATGTAGAATCTGGGATGGAACCTGAACATCAGTACGGTCCAGTTCATACAATCCAATATGTTTCATACACATATTTAGAGCGTTAACTCATTATTCTTGTTATTATGATGATGTAACGGCTTTTTTTAAATCAATCAATAAATGTTTGAATCTGTTTAAATGTCAATAAAAAGTCAAACAAGTCCATCACAACTTCTC